AAGGACGCACATTGAACTGATTCAATTTTTTTCTTAGATTTTGCTCTCCAGGTACACAAATTCAAAGGCAATTCATGCATCAAGGTTGAGAATCATCATTGGGACAGGTAGTTGTGGTAACTTTTGATATAAATCTGGCTTCAGGGCAACTTTAAGATAGTTGCCTTTTTTGCAGGTTTATTCTAAGAATTGACAACCAAGGAAAGAGAAAAAAACATTGATAATTGGGTTGACTGTTTATATTTAAAACCTTGGATTTTTAATAAGGAAATTCTTGTTATAGCAACTTTGCCCTTTGCTTCACACCCAGAAAGGATACAAACTAAAACATTGCTTCACACCCAGAAAGGATACAAACTAAAACGGTGTATGAAACCCCAAAAAGGATACCAACTAAAACATTGTATCTGGCCCAAAAAGGATACAAACTAAAATATTGCTTCACACCCAGAAAGGATACAAACTAAAACATTGTATCTCTGGAAGCAATTCAGGTGAAGTATAAATGGATTTCGTGTACCAGTTAGGAATCAGGTGTTGAATACACAGATTCCAATATCAACACTGTGCCTGTGGGAGAAGTCTTAGCTTTTAGACTTGCAACATTATATAGCATGAAGAAGTGGTACATGCAACAAACTTTTTTTCTGATTTGATTAATGCAGTAATAACTTGAAAAGAGATGAAATATTAACAGGTTTGTCTTGCAGAAGAAGATAGATTTATTCAGCAAACTGTGGTGGTATAGATATCATGGGTAACACCTGACCCTAAACTAGCACTTGAACACTTCTGGGAAAAAAGGGGAAATTACCAACATATATGCATATATATACCTAGACTGTTGGAATGCCATTGGTAAGATGAAAGTGTACCAGTTGTGACTGTTTATCTTTCGAAGAACTGACCTGAGAGATAGAAAATGAAAAAGGAGGGAGGATCAGCACCTGGATATTAATTTATTATAAACACTTATCGTTACGTCATTTCTCAAGGCTTTGGGTGAAGATATATTTGACAGTTTAGCACTCGCCTACAGGAGCTTAGATTAGAGCTACATAAACAACGCTCAGTGTTCTCGCTGATTATTTACCTATTCCAACAAAAGCATGAAGAAAGTTGATAAGTGATTATTTCTGCCACAGGTGAATGATTTGAGTAAATATACAGTCAGCAGGTGTCTAGATAAATCTGCACAGCAGGCAGCATCTGTGTGTTATGTGCATTGGCGCCTTGTGTATCAATACTCAGACAAGTGGAAGAAAAAATACATACACATTGTATTACAGAGGAAAAAATAGGAATAGGAAAGTTGTATCAGTGGGAAGATAAATATTGTTGCTTAATTAACATATGGGGGCCTTCTTGTAGTAAGGCTACGAGATAAGAAGAGCAGCTGTTATCATGGGAAAATAAATCTCATATTGATTGGGGATTTATTGGGAGAATAAATATCAAATGGAAGTGTAATTTTAGATATGATGGAGGGTGCTTAGGAAAAAATATGTATGGAGAGGAGAAAAGAAGCCCAAGCGTTATTCCAGAATAAATAGCCATTTGCTGAAGGGCTTATTTTAGGAATGACACAGCATATGTTATAGGAACCAGGAACATGTGGGAATCAGGGCAGCCTCCAACTAGGGTTTCTCACCCAACGCGCCAGGTAGAATACATACCTGTAGTCAGAACAGGGAGAGAGGTACACAGGAGAAAAGGAGGGATCAGCAGGCAAAACGGACACTCTCCAAAACGTCCTAATAGTTTTGGCGTCCAGTGGGACGTGAGAATAGGATTTGCTAATGACAGAGAAAGGAGTGCCTCTCCTAAGTATCGGTCAGTTTCAGCAGATGAGAAAGTCAGCTCTCGGACCTTGCAGGAGTTTCCCACGTTTAAACCCAAGCGCAAAGGGCGCTCAGATAATGGTGATGTTGGTGATGAAACCTCATCGCCTTGGACATTGAAAAAAAGTGGCGATACGAACGGAATTTTCAGGTCAAGGTCAACTTCTCCAAGGCTTCAACGGTGGAAGGAGAATACTCACAGTTACAAAATGGCTAACCCTTCGCAGTACGATATCCGTGGTCTTCCAAGGCGACCAGCCAGTTGTCCCGCAAAAGAGACACAAACTAGTCAAACACTATTAGAGCCAGAGGATGACTTAGGTGTACTATCGTATCTTCCGGATGACTTTTACTTTAATGAGAAAGGAGAGCTTCAGCGTTTAAGCTGTGCTTTGTGTCACTGTGATGAGCATGATTATATAGATAATAAGTCCTGTAATGGAAGTATGCACACACATAAGTCGGATAATGTTTCTGATGATGGTGCTGCTGATGGACCACCATCAAGGAAACCGAGTGGCACCTGTCAGTCACCCAAAGTGATTCTGATTCCTAGGAGTCAAATTTTCCCAGAATTTGAGAAACAAATTGGCGGTATCTCTGAACCCGGTTCAGTGTACTCCAGTCCGCCCATCTCACATCGGAAGATGGTCAGCTGTTCGACACAGACGGAGGACCAGGACACGGTAATGGTAAACCCTGATCCGATCTGGATCAGGCGAAAAGTGGATCGTGGAGTGTGCACAACTAAACGCTCAGTTAGCTTTTACGACACGAGAAACTGTGTCACGCCCCCATTTTCCCGAGCAAACACTGCTTTTAACTTGCATAACATCAAAAAAGTCATGCCTCCCAAATCTAAGAGCTATGACGAACCCTACCCCCCGTGTATTACCACTTGCATGAAGTCCCCAAGCTTAGAGAGAATAACCCGCGGCATGATGCCGAAGAAATCAGTCAGCTTCACGGAGAAGTTTAGCGTGGGGACCTTTGTGCCTTCTCAGGCGTCTATGCATATTTTGCATGTGGCAGATCATGTGATCAGGAGACCTGATCCTGTAGCCACGTTTGGCTTTGAGCAGGTAATATTGCACTGAATTAGTAATTGATAAGACCCTTTTTTTTTTTTTCTTTCTTTTTTTTTTTTTTTTTTTTTTGGGGGGGGGGAAGTGCATGTATCCTGTTTATTCGATATTAATTGCTATGACGTTTTGTTCATAATTAGCCTGTGTATATGTGCGTAACATTAGATAGATCAGAATTTTCGTGCATGTTTCTGACATCTAACTTAGCTGAATGGGATCTCAATTTCTCGATCTGGATAGAAAGTCTTTTTTTTCTCATTACAGACATTTATATGTTCTTTAGATATCTAACATTTTGTGACTGAATTAGATTACATCTTGATTTATTACTACCCTATTTATCCACCAGTAATAGCATGTATACAGTTACACCAAAAGTGATGCGATGAAAAGCTGCGATGAAAAGCTAAAAAACCTATCATAACCTCCCATCATCTCAAATTTCTGCTTGGATTAATGCCAATTGCCTGGAAACGCTGCAATCGGGGGCTTAATGCCGTCTTTTGAGATTTGAGCCATTTCCGCAGAGGATGATTCTGTCAAGCGTCTTGCCAATCTGTCAGTGTTGTGTGACAGATGAGTTATGACATGGTATTTAACATGACTGAAACACTGCAGAGAGTTGATTACATTTGATGGTAGATTTGATGGTTTTTATTGAGGGGGGGGGAGGGACAAAAGAGAAAAAAATGGAGAGAGAGAGAGAGAGAGAGAGAGAGAGAGAGTTAATAAAATATTGAGAGAGAGAGAGGGAGTTAAGAAAATGGAGAGAGAGAGGGAGAGAGAGAGAGAGAGAGAGAGAGAGAGAAAGAAAGAAAAAGAGAGAGAGGGAGTTAAGAAAGTGGAGAGAGAGAGAGAATTAAGAAAATGGAGAGAGAGAGAGAGAGAATTAAGAAAATTAAGAGAGAAAAAGAGAGAGAGAGAGTAGTTAATGTGTTTCATATTTTTCCAGGTATAGAGTATATAGTAGTATGTAACCACCTGGAGATGTCCGTATATTTGTTGTCAAAACAGTTGTGATTCCTCAAAATTATGTGTACTGCTATGGTCTGGAAGTAGCCATACCTGGTTCTATCAAAAAAATTAAACTTTTTTTTTTTTTTGAAGTCTAATATTGTCCTCATTGGAGAACAGTGTTTTTCTTTATAAACTAAATTGGATAAAGCTTGCACTTTCTTTAACAAAAATCCTCACGACTTTTATGAATAAGGATGATTTTGTTGTGATAGACAGATAAGCGTAATATAATCTAAATCAAGATGTTGTACTAGTGAATGTTGTTTTCTTAGAGAAAAGTGTGTACATGAGTATTTCCCTAGGAAAGGTGTTTATTTGTGCCATTGATAATTCCCGAAGAAGGCCCAGGGGCTCAAAGCTCGGATTGTATTTTAAAACTATAACGTAGATCTTCAAAGGTGCTTCAATATGTATACTTCTATTGCCATTGTCTACAAACACAGCTTCAACAGAAAGACCCCCCAACAAGTGATTTACGAACTAAGGAGCTTCTGGTAATATGTCATATACGAGAGTGTAATCCCACATGCTGGGCTTATTGTGGCTGTACAGAAATGAAGAGTGGGTGTGAACCACAGGTGCTTTAGGATTATTCCAATAGTAGTATTTTAGTATTTTTCATATTTTTAGATCAGACAGCTGATGGCACAGACCTGATGGTTTTTGATGGTGTTTGCACACTTATGGACCTGGTTCAATCTCATTATTCTACACCTTTTCTTTTTTGCTGACTTTATTTGAATTAATAATTTGTTATTATGAAATGTGTTGCTATTTTGTCATGTTTTGTAATGTCATGTTATGTTATGTTATGTCATGTCATGGTGTCATGTTATCTTATGTCATGCCATGCCATAATCTGTTATGTGTCATGAAATGTGTCTGATCGAATGTGAAAGTATGTGAGACCTGTATGAGTAAAGATGGATTATTCTTAGGGTTATGCCATGACTTCACATATTAGATACTAAAAAACACTTTCAAGCTGAAATAAATGATTTTATTGACTGATGATCTTCTTCAAATTATTACACCTTTTCTTTGTTTCTTTTACCAGCTCTATGACAGAATTAACACGCGGTCGCTCAGTCCCACGAGACCTCCGCCATCAGATTCGGTGGTTAGAGCCAGAGAGGTGAGTGCGGGTGATGCGTTAATGGGGTCATGACATTTCAGGTGTCTGACCTAAATGGTGTATGCTCCAGGAGTTGTTTTGGGTTATACTTTGAACATCATGATATCATTATATTATTGACTACCTATCAACCAAGAAATGATGTGTACCTCCTTTTTTTTTTGGGGGGGGGGGGGGGGGGGGAGGGATTCCTATGATGTTCTTATGTTAATATTTCACTAAATGATGCAATGCAATATTCCTTTTTATTAAAAAATATATGTAAAAAACTGAACCCATTGTTTCAGTTTAATCAGGGCAAAGTGTGCATCAACACTGCAAAGCATTCTGTTTCTTATAGAGAGAGTTGCTGATGTTTTCACCAAGTTTAGTCTCGCAAACAGTTTCTCACATTAATCTAATTAAAGCATTACAGAAGTGCCTGTAAGAAATTGGAGATTTCCCTCAGTTTATTTTATTCCCACCTTAAGCTGCACTCAAATCTGTGCTTAAAGGAGTTCACATGCCATTTAGATGACAAACAGAGCTTTTTAGGAGGTTCACCACCTTTCACTTTGATACAGATTTTAGAAAGGAATTTCCTGATAAGAATTCTTCAAAAAATATTCTTAGGAATGCTCTGTCATGGCCCCTTTCTCTTTATCCTTAGAACTTTGAAAAAGTCACCCTAGACAGTTATCATTGAGGTAGGAGTGGAAAAATATTGAGTTATGAAATTCTGTTCATAATTAATGAACAGCTACAATAAACAAATAAATAGTACTTAAAATGGGGTTTGGATGCTAAATTGATGCTTTTGTTTTTTCAAAAGAGAAAAGAAATTGAAGAACTTGCTCCAAACCTGATGTTATTTAGAAATAAAAGAAGGAGAGGAATGGTATTAAAGCTGACAGTTTGGGGAACTACTCCCAGTCTTATGTAAGCATGTTCCTTCCTTACCTGGTCCTTATACATTGAAGTCATGTGGCAAGTTAGTTTTTTTTTTTTTTTTAGATAGAAACTATTATCCAATAAAAATGTTCCTACTTTCAGGTTCTGGATGCTGTTCAAGAACACTCGCCGATCACGGCCAAAGAGACGGAAGAACTTCGTCAGATACTTACCAGTCCTAACTTTACTGTAAGTACATAGTTTGTTCTTTGTGTTAAATAGTGTTACCAGAATGCTTAGTCTTAATAAATGAATTTATTTATTTCATTTATTTTGTAGTTTTAAAGTCCAGTAAAGTGTACATAATAATGTGTTTCAGTTCTCATCAGTACCATTTTTACAGATCACTATCATTGCTGTGTCTTCACTCAGACCACTTTTCAAGAGAAGAGAAAAAATTCAATCTTCATGCACATTGTTATGTATATTATTAATTATCCTGTTTCAAAGGATGTATCTTGCCTTTGGTATAGAAACACAGGTAAGCTTTGAAAAGAAATGGGAGATGACAAAAGTCTATCCTGCGGCCTGTCTAAGGACAGGAAGTTTAGAGGCGTTGAGTTTGATAACTTAGCACAGACTCATTTCCTGTTGCCAAGTATCTTCCTAAATTACCCACATGTTCTAAACATGTATGGTTTTCTTCAAACTGATATCACACTGCCAGTTTTTTTTCCCTCTGCTGAAGAATTTGCTAATGGAATTGCATGTGCCAAAGAAAAGGTAGATGGGCAAGATTTTTATTTTTTTTTTTTTTTTTTTTTTTTTTACTGTAGAAAGTCTGGTGTTCAGGTTGTGTTTATCTGTGAACACTGTGAGGAATGGATGCTTGGAATGCATGACTCATAGTATTCTAAAATAATTCATTCAAACATATCTTGGAATAAATGTATACATTTTGATCACCCATTGTGCTTGGGTGTGCTTCAGAATTGCAGTTGGTGTGACAATGATTGTGAAAAACACAATCAGTTCTTATTTAGCTGTTGGTGAAGTTTGCTGTTAATAATCCATTATATGAAGGAAAGGGCAAGAAAAGGGTCCTTATGGAAATAATCACGTCTTTGAAACATCTGTTACAAGAATTGTATCTCAAGTCGATATATTTGTGCAATTTGTTTCAAACTATACTGTAGTAATCCCTTATTTGTAGTATTGCTGTGGGAAAGTACAAGTTGGATTCCTTCTTGATATTGATGGTATTGAACCAGTAAACCTTTTTAGTAGTGGAAAGTATGTGTACCATTGAAAGAGCTGTTGATGTATGAATAGATGAAGAAGTTGTGAAGTTAGGATGGTCCAGTGCATTGTTCTACATGTTGGTTTTATTGGAAAACCTGATAATAATATATAGGAGTCGGTGACTAAGAGATATATTATTTATCCAGTTATCTCAATCTTGTGCAAAAGTTCTACAACATGGAGATCAATGGAAGGGTAAGTACAAAAACATCTGTCTGAATTCCAGCATTCGGTAGGAACAGAATGGATCTGATTGAATACGAATTCTGCATTGCTTTTGATAAGTTATCAGCTGTAAACATTGTATGCAGGTGAAAAGTTGCCAACATGACAGCTAGTACTCCAGATGAATAGATCTACTGTTTTAAAGCTTTATTATCAATTGAATAACACGTGTAAACAATGAGGGCGAGTCCTATATGATATGTAGACTACATGTAAATGTACACAGAGTTGCAAACTATACTGACGTGAAGTAGGTGGCAGAAGGGCAACTAGGTCACTTCAAATTTTTTGGAAACCTTACAGGATTTAATTAGGGATCTAGGCTTTCCCAGGTTTTCCAACTTGGAAATCCCAAGGTCAACTGTCTGCTTGACGGTACAATGGAGTCCCTGATTTAAATACGCATATACTGGATCAAGTTTAAATTTATTTAAAAGTATACCAACATGGTTGAAATATCCCAGCTCCATTTGGCTGTATTTTTCCAATTCAGACATTAAAAATGATAAAACTCCTCAAGTAGAAGTATCTGATATCAACATTTCATTCAGAAATGTCAGGAAGACTGTGGTGAACTAAATGTACGGAGATATATTTAGAACTGTATTATGAAATTAGAAGTGGTTGAAAACCTCAAACCCTCATGCAGAAATATGTTGTGCAATGATACTTGAATTTTTTTTCTCCAGAAATATTAGATTTGGTGAAAAATTTTGGTAGATTTGGAGAGGATGTCTCTAAGTAAAGGAAAATAGTTTCAATGTTTAGAAATATGGTGTATTGTTTACCTTAGCCTGGTTTCCTTGTTTAGAAATATGGTGCGTTACAGGGGCGGATCCAGAGCTATTTACTGACAGTCTTCCAAATTATCTTTGTTGATTCATCCTCCAATTTTGACCGTCTTCCAACAGAAAAAATTAGATACCCGTCAATGTAAACTTGAAAATCTGACCGTCTTCCGGAAGACCCAGAAGACGGCCTAAATCCGCCCCTGCGTTAGATCCTGACCACACTGCCTTAGGAATAAACTCCTAAACCTGAATGGTATAATGTTTGAGATTTGACAATTGTTCTATATGGTATATATATTATAATATCAGATTCCTCTGGGGATCTGTGGTGAGGGGGACAGGGGAGGGGGGGGACTTTAGAGAGACTGGGTGATGCCATTATACAATTACACTTTGTATAAAAGCCACAAGATAGAGATTTTGCTTGGTTTGTTTTCCTTTTTATACCATGGATCAACCATTGCAGTCCAAGGCCTATAGCTAGTTGCTTCTGTCAGTTTTTCTTACCATGACCTCATCTTTTCAACATATGCTGGCTTATCTTAATGAAATATTAAACATGTTTTACTTTGCTAAAGAAATGGAATAAATCATGCAATGTCAAGTCCAAATTCACTGATGTTACTCCACAAGATGTGTTATACCTTGCTGAGGAGCAAAAGCACAGATGATGCATCACAAGCTTTATCTTGGTTTTGACAATGTTGTACTGCAGATAGATTCACGTAACAGATAGTGATTGTGATTGTTCTAATGATGTAAATCAAATCCCTGTATTTGTTGCTATGACAGAAATAAACTTATATATATATATATATATATATATATATATATATATATATATATATATATATATATATATATTTTTTAAATCCCAGGGAAGCATTGCTAGCATATGTATCTTTTCTACAGTGCAATACAGAATCTTTCACAAAATATATTGACATACTGCCTAATTTATCATGGTCTTGATGCCATTAAAGAACCTGAAAGGTGCAAATCTTATGGATCGCCAACCATTTTCAAGCAAGATACAGTGCTCTTCGGGCCTGAAGAGAGCGGTTGTAGAGGGGTTTGAAAGATTTGATTTAGGTTCTATGCCATTTCTCAAATTGGGTAAACTAAGAGGATAAAAAAGTTAATTTTTCAGAAAAAGGATCTCTCTCTCTCTATCCCTCTTACTGCCCTACTTTCTCTCTCTCTCTCACTCTCTCTCAACTTGAACATTGCTGGCAACAGATCTTCCCTGATTACCAGTCAGAATTTATGCAATTAGTATAAGAATTATGAATCTTTCTCTCCAAATCCCCGCGTGCTGTAACAGTTAATAGAAGTTTATTGGAAGGAGTGTAATGATTTCCAGGGTAAGCATGCGTCACTTGTTAGCCAGACACTACTCCTGGCTGCTCAACCCCGGGACTGTTGGAGCCAGGACTATTGATCATTGTTTACTTCAGCCAATATTTGTGTCTCTAGGACTCCTTATTGCTGGTGAATTCTGAGATACACAGGAAAGTGGAGGAAAGGCATGTATAAGGCAGCAGGTAGTTATTATGTTTTTAGGCACCATTCCCATAGAGGCCATCAGTCCACGTACATCGATCCAACTCTGCAGGAACTCTTGCTGAATGCAAGCAGTTTAGCAATTAACACACCCTCTTCTGGTGTTGAGTAGAATACAAAAAAGCTGGTAAATATACTAGTATGTTGGAAACCATGGAGACGTGTCATTCAGTTAAGCTGATTGCACTCAGTGAGAGTCCCTGCAGAGTTGGATTGATCTACATAGGCTGATGGTGTCTATGGGAATGGGGTCTTAGACACTAGAACAGTTATCATATTCTTAGGCATTCAGTGTATTTGTGTATACTCTATATAGTGTTTGGTCATCACCAGTATATTAAGGTTACAGTCTCCAGTGTGTTAACTAGTTCCTAGAAACCTCCAGGTAAGAGTGCAGTTTGTATTAGAGGGACCGTGGACAGGTGTTCCCCATATATTTTCAATCAAGTTTATGGAGAATACAATATGTGCATGTACTGGTATGCTTTCAGACCGCCAGATATTTCATGTGTACCTTATTTTTCAACTGATTGCCACATTTAAGGAGCATAAAAGTGGTAGTTTTAGACGTTAAGTTAGCCATTCTGAAATAACACTGCCATTAGAAGATAGCTGTTAACTTTTTGCGCTGTGTTAATAAACACATGCAAGCAAAGAAAAAAAGGAAAGAAATAGAAGCTAGTTACATGATTGATGGAAGGGTCGTAAATGTTTCTTTGAAGTTGACCTAAAAAGAAGTTTTAGTGTGACAGTAAGAGGTTTGGATGCCAAGAAAGCTTACCCTGTTTGATCATGATCATTTGAATAAATTCATTCCCCAGTTCTCTCTGAGTGGCTCTATAGATTTGGATGGATGTATGGAGCAGTTTATAAGTAGTTATACAGGGATAAAGTCATCTACTAGTAGACACAGGTAATGCTACTTCAAAGAAAAAAAATTAATTGCTACTTAAAAAAGCTTCTGGTGTCTGTTCATCCGTTTGCCAGGAACCGCTGTATAAGTTAAGACGGATTTTCATGTAACATGTTAGGCACAGTAGTAGGAAAAGTGTTCGGTTAAAATTTGTTTTATTTTGTACGTTAGTTAGGTATTTGGGTATGAGGAAGGGGAGATACCTTTGAAGATAGGACAAGCTAGCCTCTCTACCCCCTCCCCCCCCCCCCCCAGCTCTCCATTACCTTGGGTTAACTATTTTATTGGCCACATTTACTGTAAGGATGACAAGAAATCAATTTAATCTGATTGTCGTATTGACCGTTTTTACAGATGAACATGAACAGTTAAGAAAATTGGGTTCCTTGTTTGCCAGGGATAATGGACATGAAAAGCATATCTGGACTCTCCTGATAGTCATAGAATTTACTAGA